GCCCGGTTGCAGTAGCTGGTGCCGGGGCCGCCGCCGGGCTTCAGGGGCGACTCTCGGCCTGGGCCCGTGCTTTGGGGGAGCGTGACTGCAACTCCCTGTGGCGTCTGTACGCGTTTTCCGGAGAAGGGCAAGGGTAGGGGGGCGTAACTGCAAAATCACCGCGGGTGTGAGTTCAGCAAGGTACCGGTGGGTACATTTTGTGTGTTCTTCTGCGGGGAGTCTTCGAGTACAGCTGTCGTGGTGTCTTCGTCTTGCCATCGGGCCCGAAGTGGTGTGACATCTGTCATGTGTGGCACTCATTCGGGATGGGAGGATTGTGGGTGAAGCGTTCTGTTCAGGTTATGTAATGCCTACAAATCTTCCCCCTCTCATGGGTGTAGAGAAGATGAGGGAATGCAAAGAAGCGTGTCCTTGTAGTTGAGGTTTCACATGCAGAAAAAATGACTTAATCTGTAGATATAGTAGTCAGGTAAAATGTGGCTTACGTACCTCAAGAAAATCAGAAGAGTATGATGAACTTCAGCAAATTGTCATTACTTAAAAAAAAAACCAAACCCAACTCACAAATCTGCAACTGTCATTAGGAGATAAAAGGTAGTTGGACTATAAGGTGCCACAGAGAACATTAAAGCACCAGCTGGTTTTGGGCCAGTCATTCAGAAGACATAAACACGAGCCACTGATAAGATGAGCAAGGTGTTGACTTAACTGAGGCAAACTAGAAGAGGTGCTGAACTCCAAAACAGCCACTGTGATCCTAATGGGATAGTATTACACTTTTGCTCCATTCCTCTAAATCCTTCTTGTCCCCTTGCTGGTAGCACCCTTTGTTTTGTGCGTGTTCTCATTTTTCCCAACAATATGAGGAGCATTCCTTGGGAGCTGTATTGGTCCATATGCAATAACGTGAGAAGAACTAGTAAAAACAGAAGCAGTGAAGGAGTGTAAATGGCTTCTTAATAAATTGTTCACTTTCAGAAGGACTTTTCTGTTATATATTTTTGTATGTGTCTAAAAGCAATATAATTTTCTATAAGTATTCATGGATTAAAATCACGGTGAGAGAAGGGAATGCTGGTTCTAAAGAGAAGAATAATTTTCTAGGTCAAACTTCTACGTTTAAAGCATAGGTGGCCTTTTTTCGTGAGACTTTGTTTTAAATAGAAGGTTAATTATACAGTATAAATAGGATCATTATTTCAAATGTATGATGTGTGCAAAATAAAACAAAATTACCGAAATAGATAACTGACTTCTGTCCCTGTTTTTTGTCAGCCTTCTAGCAGTGGCCGAGCTGCAGAGCTCCTTGCCAAAGAACGTGGAACAGTGCCTGGGTTTATTGGCTTTGGAACATCTCAGAGTGATCTAGGATATGTTCCTGCAGTTCAAGGAGCAGAGGAAATAGACAGCCTTGTGGATGCTGATTTTCGGATGGTGTTGCGAAAACTTTCTAAGAGGGATATCACAACAAAATTAAAAGTAGGTGTATCCTTTGTTCCCCATAATTGTTTTTTATTGGAAAACAATACCTTTTTCTTAAGGATGGGAGAGGAATACGTCAAGGTAGCTAATACTAATTTCATATTGGCAAATTTGCTAGAACTGCAATCCAGAAGGTATCTTGGAGGACTTATAAAAAGGTCCATCACACAATGCTGACGGAGCCTTCATAAAATTAACTCTATAGATGCTCAATTGCAAGAAATGAATTGATTTTTGAAAAAGAGAGTTGCAATGTCGGGTAGAAGCTGGTAAATTACAGACGTATCTATCTGACTTCTTAAATCATGCTCTCGGTATCTTGATTTTAGGCTATGCAAGAGTTTGGGACAATGTGCAAGGAAAGAGAAGCGGAAGTTGTTAAAGGTGTTCTTCCTTACTGGCCAAGAATTTACTGTAAAATCTCACTGGTAAGTATTAAAGTATCTAAATTAAAAACTTCTCTGGATACTTCCTGTGACAACCTCTAAGGCAGTTGTTACTGCCTTTGTAAAATCTGTGACAACCTCTAAGGCAGTTGTTACTGATATATCTAACTTTGTTGGAATTACTGACTCGTTCTAGGAAAAACGTGAAGATGAAGGAAAGTAGTGTTCTTTATTGTGGAGATGTTTCAGTATTGGCAGTGGGTAGAATCTTGAACTGTTGATGCCTGGGCTGTACTTGCTGGATGGAGATAGCTGTTTGTTAGACCTTTATGTTAAAAAGATGACAAAATATTTCTTCTCAAGAAAAGTTCTTTTATGTAGATTCCAGAACGGCTAAGGAGAACGTGCTGTTCAGTTAACATAATTATAAATCTTTTTGAGCTAGGACTAATATCTGACCAGACTTAATATTAAAAAAAAAACCAAACCCACAAAAAGAAACCCACAAAAAACCCCTCAAACATGAAAAGACCATGCGTAGCCAGATAAACCATAATTTTCTGATATATTTAATACATCTCCAGACTATCTGGACTGGCTACTGTTGGAAACGTGATATTGGACAAAATGAATCACTATTCTGATCCGTTAGAGCAATTTCTAGTATTTCTTTCAGGAGCCAAGAGCATAGAAAGTCATGAAGTTGTAAATTCATACACAAATAATGGATAATGATGCACAGTTTGGTAGGCTTATGGTCGTTTTAATCCAAAAAGTGTCTTCAAGGCTTCCTGTTTCTCTTGCTTCTTGTCTTTCTGTTAAATGTTTGTATAAAGTGGAAATAGAAACTGTAGTTGGGTATATCAGGAAAAGGTTACAATTTTGAATGTACAACACGTCGAGAATATGATACTGCTAAGTTAGGGCTTTCCCCTTATCTAGGGATACCAAGACTTTTTTGTCATTGTTGTTGCGTATTTTCAAATCTATACAGCCCAATTCATTGCGAAAATGTCTGAACTGAGAGACAGCTTTTTTTTTTGTCATCATTTCTGCTTTGAAGTATCCCAGCATCAAAGGTACATTTCTTAAAACAATAAACCTTTCTCTTTTTTTTCCTTCTTTTTTTTTCTTTAACAGGATCACGATCGCCGTGTTCGAGAAGCAACTCAGCAATCTTTTGAGCAACTGGTTCTTAAAGTAAAGAAACACTTAGCTCCTTACTTAAAAAGTATCATGGGATACTGGCTGATTGCTCAATGTGACACTTACTCCCCTGCTGCTTCTGCTGCAAAAGTAGCTTTTGAAAAAGCTTTCCCTTCAAGCAAACAACCTGAAGC